TTCTTTGTTAGGGGGGGTCGGAACCCCGCACATCACATCATGGTTTGAAATTAACGACACTATCTCTGCTGATTTAACTCTAGAAGAATCTCTCGAGTCTATGGTTGACCATACTGACAAACAGCTTGTGCTAAAACCTGTGGTTCCTTATGGTTTTTCTCTTTCCGCCATGTCAGGTGATAACCACCTCTCTGGCATGGATGTGAAGTCTTTTAGCTGTGACAGACCGCTTCAGCCAGAGGTCTGCCTCAATGATCAGTCCACATCATGCACAACCCTGCTTGTTTCTCGGGGCGAGGTGGAAACATCAGACGCCGTGAAACACTTGTGGCCTCCAGACGTGCCCATCGTACCATTTGAAGGGTTTGTGCCCGGACTTCTTGACCTTTCTATGAATGACCTTGTCAGTTCTCAGTTCGTGACCTCTGCTGACACGGAGGCCAATCCTCTTCTTCTTTCACAGGAGTGTGACGCTGTCTCTGGCCTATGTGCTCTCTTTCCTGTGATTTCTCTTTCAGGTGACCACGATGGCGCAGAGAAACCTGTGGTTCCCAGTAGCCCTAAGGTCAGTGATGATATCGAGAGGGCCTCGGTGGTTGCTGGGGGCACCACACTCGCGGGCTCGGGATCACCACCCGGCCCGGGAGGGGTAGGTGCGTGCGGCGACGCTCGGCTCAGGGCCCTGCCTGACAAAGGGGGGGGGGGGGGGGGGGTGCTGAGTGGCACTGAGTCTTCCGTTGCGGACTTAGACCTGTTCGGGGGAACCCCTCCTTCGAATGGGCGGGTCAATGCAGGAATCGACACTGACCTTACAGCACTTCAGCTGGCGACGTTGACCTCCGACCCGGGGATAGGTGATACACCTTCTAAGGGGGAGGGCTCTAGTCAGTCTGTAACTTCTCTGGTTGACCCTGGTATTTCTGTTCCCGTGTGGAATCCTCCATCATTCTTGGGCCGGAAGTATTCTTGGCTTCAGTTTTCAGGACAGACCATGTTCCTTTCGCTAGCAACATGTCTGTGTCTGATTCTACACATGGCTGTGTTTGCTTTGACACCCGTAATGCAACCATTCTTGCCTGAATCCTTTTCAGAACCTCCACGTCTGAAACCTCCAGGTCTTTGGACATCTGAACACCTGCTCTTCCAGCATGATCCGGGTGGCAATGTGCATCTTCTTGGTGAGCAGGCTCTTAAGAGCCTAAGAACTGTTGTTTTTTCTGATTTTCCTGTCTCACAGACACGGCATAAGTTTGAGAAACAAAAGGGGGGTGGGAAGCCTCCTCCTGATCTGCGAGCCTCGTCTCCTCATCTCCAGTTCACTCCTATTTCTGATCGCAAGAACGTCGCCTCTGATAAGCTGATAAACAACCTTGAACAGGTAAAATCAGGTTCTGATCTAACTACTAAACCATCCGCTTCGACCCAGTTCCAAACGGGGCCCACAGGTAAATTCAAACTCGTTTCCCTGTGGGTTCGTAACACCAGATTCAAACCGCTTAATGACCCAATCGATTCTGACGCTGCACCCACCCAAATGCCTACGACCGGTTCGTTTTGGGACCAAGAAAGGGGTGAACCTCCCCCTGATATAAGAGCTGTCTCTGATGTTAATTCATGTTTGTCTCGTGATGAACGTGTGTGTGGATGGACATCCCGACACCAGATCTCACACCGGCTTTATGAGTTTAACGTGTGGTTTGCTGTGGTTCTACTCATCAATCGTTTTCAGAACGTGACACCTGACAGGTTAAACATTCTCCCTCTCCTGATAATAACTTTTTGCTTTCCTTGACGTTGGATGTGCTACTACTAGTTTACCCGTTTAATTATAGATCCACTAGAATAAATACAATAAAGTTTATCTCTCACCAAATAGAATATTTACTAAGACATCACAATATAACTATAGACACATTACTTGTCTTTGTGTGTGTGTGTGCACGTGTGTGTGTGTGTGTGCATGTGTGCTTGTGTGTGTGCACGTGTGTGTGTGTGTCTTCTCCATCCCCAGTGAGTCGTGGAGGATGGCTGCTTATACTGAGCCAGGATTCTATGGAGGCTTCTTCCTGTTAAAAGGGAGTTTTCCTCTCCACTGTCGCTGCATGCTTGCTTAGTACGAGGATTGCTGTATAGTCACTGACACTAGTCAGTGACTTGATGCAATTTGCTGGGTTCCTTATATAGGAAACATTATTTCTGATTGGCTTAATGAACTGACCTGGACTGGAATGTTTATTATGTGAAGTGCCTTGAGACGACTCTTGTCGTGATTTGGCGCTTTATAAATAAACTTGAATTGAATTGAATTGAATGGGAGTAGATATTCTGCTGGGTTGGTGCCCTTGGACTCCGCAGGGCTCTGCGATGCTGCTGTTTTGGGCCCTGGCAAGATGGGCTAGGATCTCCATGCCCCAGGTGGTATTTTGGGAACGGAGGTGCCTAATGAGACCAGTGGGGGAGCTAGCTCCCTGGAGGGCTTATGGCCCCTCAGTCATTCCTCTCCATCCTAAGACATTTTCCTCCTACTGCTTCTTCACATCATCACAAAAACATGCATATAGGACCTTGAGGGTTGGGGAAGTCAGGGGGTTTGGATCCCATTACCACAGTCCTGTGACAGCCTGCTCCCAATTTTACTTGCATATTAAAACACTTCCACCAACATTCCACGCAAACACATGCTTAGGTCCTTGGGAGTGAGCACTCAATGGCATTCGGCAGGGGGATCATTCAGCCTCACCCCAAGTGCCGGTGCTCACTTACAATTTTAAACTGCACTTAGACACAGAGGGGTGGAACTGTGTGGTGACATCAGCTGGTGTAGGCCTGATGACGCCTGCACTTCCCCCCACCCTCCAGCTACAGAATACACCTCATATAACAAATAAGTTATATGAAAAACAATAAGTGCAATCAGGGGCTGTAAACGAGCTGTTTCTGCCCTCCCTGAAAGCACTCATCAGGTGATCTAGGTCTCAAACATTGCAATCAGCTGCTGCATGAACACCTGTTTCCAATTAGTAGCACAGCATAAGTTTGGTGGCATAACTGAAGCGTCAGCCCTTGTGTCTCACCCCTCCGGTGTGAAGACACTCCGGGGTAAAGGCATACGTGTCTACTTGCGCGTGTCTACAGAGCAGGTACACGGAGCAAACAAACTCAACCCAGACGCTGCTCCATCAACACCTAGCAAAATGTGCCATTATCCTATACCTGTGATCACTGGCTTCAGAGGAAGGTCACACACAGCAAACCGCTTTCGCAACCTTCAAAACCTCCGCTCGCTAAAACCAACTCCCCCCAAAGACATCCACCTGTCTATGGGACTTTGGAACTGCCAATCAGCTGTAAACAAAGCTGACTTCATTACCGCATATGCTAACCACCTGTCACTTGATGCACTGGCTCCACTGGCCTTTGTCCTATCATTTACCAAACTACCAGTAATTATTTCTTGTCCAGAGGAGAAAATCTATCATGTTAAGCTAATTTCATCATCTAATACCAGAGGACTACACTCATGTGCTGCATGGAGCTATTAAAGTTAAGGCAAACATGGCTGGAATCTCACAGTATTGACTCAATCAGCTTCTGGGGTAGTTTGACAGCTGTAGCTCTCTGTTTCTGTTTCCTGATTACACCGGGGAAGGGTTTGGCCCATCTTTCCACGACAACAGGATAAATAAATCTTCGTTTGCAGCCACAGTGAAAAGGCTTGCTGAATCCCCAAAAAACTTCCCCAAATAATTTAAAACCATGAAGCCAAATGCAATCTTTACAACAAAACGTTGACCCAGATCTTTCCTGATGGAGCATGAGAATACATGCAATGAGCGCTTAAACGTGGAGCAAGGTAGCCGCTAGGGGTAGCTGTGCCTGATGACTTCAGAAACACAAAGGTTGTATATTTATATCGATATAAACATTACTGAGTCATCTTGTTTGATATAATAGATATTTTAAAAATCTAGAAACATTGCCCAGTCCTACGCTGTGGCAGTGTGGCAAGTTCAGACATCATGGCATGGCCAGACATTTGGCTGTAGATTGGGGCGACGGTGGCACTGGAGTTAAGTACTCACCCTGTAATTGGAAGGTTAGGGTTTGAGCCCCGCTGAGTTTGTTGCTGTTGTTGTTTCCTTGGGCAAGACACTTAACTCCCTTTGCATGCTGGTGTTGGTTGGAGGGACCGGTGGCGCTAGTGTATGGCAGCCTCGCCTCTGTCAGTACGCCCCAGGGCAGCTGTAGCTACACCGTAGCTCATCCTCACCAGTGTGTGAATGTGTGAGTGAATGGGTGAATTACTGTGTTGTAAAGCACCTTGGGGGGTTCCAGGACTAGAAGGTGCTATATCAAATACAGGCCATTTACCATGTAATTTCCATGTATGTCTTCTGATCTGCACCAAATTTATGGTGGATATAAATGTAGCTCCTAAAAGAACTGCTTGCAGCTTTTCTGCTGCACATTGTCTAATTTCTCCATAGCACCCCCGACATAGCATTAAAACTTCTAAAAACAAAGTCACAACTGTACCAAACAGTTTGTCATCAAGCACTCAACACATTCATGTGGTCATTTGTTGAAGTTGCTGTAGCTCCGTAGATACAGTTGGCTCCATTTAACACATGATTTGATTTGCACCAAATTTCAAATAAATTATCTCCTTCATTTACATGTTTTGACAGCGCCTGCAGTCTCCCTGTCATGTATGTGTCAGCTGTTTTATTCAGACAGAGGACTACCACACCCAGCACTGCTAGCTGCATTCCTCAGGACCAAGTTCCATGTTTGGGTCAAGGTGTAGGTCCCCTCATGGTAGGTTCATGGTTGTTGGGTCTCATTTCCTAATTTCAATGGTGCCCTTTATGCTAGAACACTTTCATTCTTGCAGGGCTCCTCTAACAGGAGGCTATCATACATTAGTTTAGTTACATCCAGGCATTAGACTAAAAAGTGTACATAACAGAAGCTAGAGTAAAGTTGACATTGCAACACACCTCTTGGCAGACGGACATTCAGCTCACTGCGAGCCACCTGTGCTTGAAGGGGGAGAATCCCGCTGAGGCGTGAGAAGCTGGGACTGCTGCGACCAGGCCGATTTGCAGCCGATTTGTCCTCCGCAATGTCAGAAGGACCCCGACTGATGTCGTGGCTTTGTGGCCGAACCAGGCTTGCCAAAGAGGAAGACCACTGAGAGGAAGAGGAGGAGTGGGCCTTCTGTTGTGAGATTGGGAGGATAAGATCAGAATACGCTAAGGCATCCAGAAGTGAGTTTAACAGCAAATAAAAACCATGTAAACATGATGATCTTTAAAATAAAATTTATTTTCTCTCTCAACTTGAGTCTAAATCTAAAGTAAAGCGTCCTTTTAAAATATCTCACAAAATCTGCAAAACAGCCAAACATTTCAGAAAACAATGTACAGAAAACAAATAACTGTTTGCCATTTAACAAAATATTAGCAATACATAAAATCTTTAAAGCAACAGTTTTTACTACTTTAACTGATTCCTTTAAAAGTTGGTTTCAGTGATTGCGTAAGTAGGAACATTTCTAACTTGACCTCGTGCAGCAGTCTGCAGCCCTCAGCTGACCAGAAACTACACTCAAGTTTTGTGGGATGAGTAGATGCCTTAGGGGGAGCTCTCTACCTTCTCATCAACTGTTAGCTGTTTACTCTGTCAGTAGCTAACATAAAGGCTACCAGTTAGCTTTTCCTATTCGCTGGCACTCAATAGGCGCATTTGCAGTGTAGGAACCTTTTGTAGTTCCCTTTTCAGGAACCAGCCCCCTTTTGCGCACGTTTGGACAGACAGGAACTAGGAACCTTTTACCACAGTTCAGAACCATTTTAGCTCCTGCTCTGAGGCTGGGATTTTCTGTAATTCCAGAGGAACTAACGTGACATCGGCGCTTGGTGAGCTACGCCCCTTGCGTGATTTCTGCATCTGTTCCGATTCATGTTTGTTTGTTTAGAAACAGACTGGACTGCATCCTGGATACTCCTGCTGCAGCCAGCACACCTTGCCAAAACCAAACAGGTAAAGAAAACAGTCTTAATGTATTTACAAGTCGTTCATCTCTTTTCTTGAAATAATTGAAGGAAATTGTCCATTTTGGGATAAAATCTCAGAATGAAAGCTGCCAATAGCGAGCATGTGTTTGTACCAAATTAATATGTAGTAATTTTAGCTATCTTTTCAGTGAATTCCTACTTGCAAATGCTCCTTCATGCTCCTTCAAGTTTTTCCAAGTATTGAACATTGGAGCAAGCCAGAGCAGCACTGGACAAAACTGGCTGATACAGCAGGTGGAGCGGTAGGGTCATCTGTCTACCAGTCATCATCTCAAATGGGGAGACACATGTAGACCCATGAGGAGTGGTCCAAAAAGCCATCAGAACCAACAGAATCTTCACATTCCAGTCTCTGCCGACACGTATTTATTTCAAGCATTGACAACCATGCGGTTCAAACTTTGAACTTGTCCAGAAGACTGGGGCAGGTAACCAATGTGGAAATTGGTCTTTATCCTCAACATCTGCCAAAGGTATTCCATCACCTCATAAGTAAAATGAGTTCCCCGGTCCGCGTTAACATGCATAGGGAGACCGAACCAGGAGATGATGTGATTCAACAAAACAATGGCGGTGGTTTGTGCCGTGTCGTTAGCTGCTGGTAAACAGTCAACCCACTTGGTGAATGCACAGGTCACACTCAAGAAGTATTTGGGCCATTCCCATCTGTACCGGGTCGGCCCGGGCCGGGTAGCGTAGGTTGTTTACATATCTGGGTGGCCTGGTATTTTTCCGGGCCAACCAAGGCTCATTCTCAGCCCTCTTCTCGAGGGGGTCTGCTTCAGGCCGACCAGGGCCAACACACCCACTGCTGACAGCAAATTCACACCTTCCATTAGAGCAAGCCTCTGATTGGTGGGTAGAATCAGCCCACATGGGCTTAAGGAAAGGATGTGTGGAATCAACCGGGCCAGGCTGGGGCCGACTGGGGCTACCCGGCCCGGGCCGACCCGGTACAGATGGGAATGGCCCATTTGTTACCCCTGCTGGACTTGGTCAGGGCCCCCACCCAATCAAATTGCAGGTCGAACCATGGTGGTACCCTGCTCTGAAGAGGAGCTCTGTGGATGGGATTTAAGGGATGAAATTGACAACAAATCAAAAAGCCCTGGATGTAGTCCAAGATGTCTCTAAGCATCCCTGGCCAGTAAGCGATCTGGCTCAGGGCTCCAAACATGACCTTGACACCTTTGTGGGTGGGGTGTGTGTGTTATGAATGTGCCAATGCTTTTAATTGGTGTAGGAAAGACAGAAATGGGGTTATGGTGGGTCAAGTTAATCTGTAAAGCACTTTGAGTTGCACTTTTTGTAGGAAAAGCTCTTTATAAATACATTTTGATTGATAGATTGAAATGGTCATTGTCAGAAAAGACTGGTTTAACAGACATGAACCCATCCGATGGTTAAGTGGCAGACGCAGCAGATGAATGGGCACGAGTCATGACACATGTGGGATGGGTCTGAAGGGGAAAGAACATGATCAGGAAGCCACAAGAGGTTGAAGGACCATGGGGTACCAACAGCAGCCCCTTGTGCGGGCAGCAGTAGCTCAACAGGTTGAGCGGGTTGTCCAATAACTGGAAGGTTGCAGGTTCGATCCCGGCTTTGGACAGAGAATTCTGCTGTTGTGTCCTTGGGCAAGACACTTAACCCACCTTGCCTGCTGGTGGTGGTCGGAGGGAACGGTGGCGCCTGTGCTCGGCAGCCTTGTCTCTGTCAGTGCGCCCTAGGGCAGCTGTGGCTACATTGTAACTCATCACCATCAGTGTGTGAATGTGTGTGAATGGATGAACGATACACTGTAGTGTAAAGTGCTTTGGAGTCCTTACTCTGAGAGGCGCTATACAAGTGCGGGCCATTTATCTTTTTTTTGGCTACCGACTCTTTAAGGTTGTTTATCTCTTTATCACATCCAGGTGCACGGGAATGACCTTTGACTTTATGCCAATAGATCTGCATGTCATGGGATGTCACCAAGGCATCACATGCCACAATAAGGTCTCTATTTTTAACAGGCTTCCAGTTAAAGGTCAAGAACCCATTACTTTTCCAAGAAGGCAGATGATAGGTGAAACTGAAACAAGCATATTCCAAGTTGGTGCAGATGGCCAGCTCTTGTACACCACGATCAGCAGCAAGTTGTAAGACTATCAGGATCCCATCTACCTCCGTGAACTGTCAGGTCTGAGGGCACTGATAGCACCAAGAGCCTTTCTGGTCAGCGTTCAGCCAAACGACACCCACGCCTGAACCCAGTTCAGCACCGTGTTGAAAGGAGCTGTCGTCAATGTGCACAGTTGGCATGCCCTCACAGAGAGCTTTGTCAAAGGAGTGGTGATTGGGGTTCAGCAGGGTCTGGGGAGGGTTGGCTGGCAGAACTGATGCAGAAGTGTCGTCCGAGCAATGCTGGCATGCAGCTAGACCCATGCCAAGAGGGCTATGGTGGTTCTGGGCATAGCGCACCTCTATATCGAAGCTCTGAAGAGCTAACAGCCAGGATGCAATGCGTGCGTTGGTTAGAATCAGAATCAGAAGTTTTTATTGCCATATGTGTGCCAAGTCACAACATTAGGAAATTGCTGCGGTATTTTGGTGCAGAAGGTAAGATAGAAAAAAAATTAATTAAGAGATAAGCAAATATAAGAACTAATAAAACACTCATGATAAAATTATTAATGTAAAATGTTGCAAGAATTAGAGAAGCAGCTATCTACTCCTTGTAGGTATTTATCTGAGTGTTTGTTGAATGGTTCAAGCACAGCATCCACACCATCTCTGATGTGTTGACTATTCAAGAAGGTTGCAGGCTGACGTTGAGTTTCAACAATGATTTTCTGGCCACCGACGTACTTAGAGAAGTGTTTAACTGACCAAGTGGTGGTCAGCAAAGCTTTTCACAGTCAGAGTATCTTAACTCAGGACCGGACGAGATCTTACTTTGATAGGCTACAATATGCCTGTCACAGTCATACATCTGGTACAGACCGGCACTCAAACAGTGGGTAGAGAACTCGACCTCAAGGTGGAACTCCTTGTCACAATCTGAAAGTGCCAGGCACGGAGCCGAGCACAACGCAGCCTTCAAGCCATCCATGGCCTGCCGTTGCTGCTCAGTGCACTCAAAATGCACATCCTTTTTCAGCAAGGAAGTCAGAGGTCTCACCAACTCCGCATAGTTCTCTACAAACTGGCGGCAATAGTAGCACACACCCAGAAAACTCCAAAGTTCAGAGACATTCATGGGAGCTTTAATGGTGGATATGCCCTGGACACTACCATGTTGAGGCTGCACTCCCTGTGGTCCCACAAGGCAGCAAACAATCTGCACTTTCGACCTGCACCACTTATTTGGTGAGTGAGATTTTCACACCTTCAACTGTGAGCTGACCCATGGCATGGTCCAGCTCGGACAGGTGGTCGTCCAAAAGACCAAAACCCAGGGAAAATATATTACAATTTCAAATTATTAATAAAGTGTTGATTTTGATTTACCTACTGGCTGACTCGCCATTTATGTAACATTTTGTAAGTGGTTACTTTTAATAAATTGTCAATGGAACATAAAGCTATTCAATAATATGTAGAATTCCATATAAAATATGGATTGTCAATTTCATTGACCCTTTACTATTCGATTGATGATCAAACTAGGTAATTTGGGTATGCAGGGAACCACCATTTTATAATAATTTGACACAGAGGCAAAAATATAGTTTATGAAAATCAAGTTATTACTGTATTTCTACTATGATTATGCAGTACAAATGATTATAAATGATTAGTTAAGGTGATATCAACTGAGGCACTGTATGAAATGAGGAAATATGGCTTTAGATGTTAAGTTACAAACTGTTGTGTCCAGAAATGGTCAATTTCCACCTACATATTGACCTAGATGCCACTGGTCATCTGCAGACTTAATTTTATCTCCTAAAGTGGATTTTACACTATCTTCCTGAAGCCACAAGGATACTGCATTCCATCAGCTGGAGTTCAGAGCCTCTCTGCAGCTCTGAACACATAACGTGTTGTCAACATCATGCCCTTCCTCAAGGCCTTAAGCTGGCCTTATCTATCCGCCTGCTTCACAGGACAAAAGATGAACTTCCACAACTAATAAGTTAAATAATCATTAAATAA